GGTCCTGGCTGGGAATTCCGCAGCGCCTCGGTGGCGGCCGCCAGCGCCGGGAGGAAGCGGGGCCGGAGCGCAGTGAGGCCGTCGGACAAATTTAGAACATCCTCTCCTTCCCAATTTAATCTGCAGGAGACAACRCACTTCAAAGGGAGGAAAGGCACTGTGATTTCCTTCGAGCAGCACTGACGCTTTTGGTTGGATTGTTTGAACAGATATTTGGGGGTATTTGATGAGGACAGTTGGTCGGTGTGTGCTGTTGAAAAGGGCCTCCTGAGCAGGATTATTTTTTCTTTCCCCTTCCCCCCGGCCATGGGGGAGCAGAGCTGCCAGACCCTGAGGTTCAGCTTTATCACGTTTTATTATTCTTGTAGAAAATGGACTCTTTGCCACCATAAATTAAGTTCCTTATGTTACATTATACTTTAAAATCCCTGCACTCTCCTCAAACAYGCACAGAGAAAGGAACCTCTGGCTAATCCTGAGCAGATCCCAGCTATCCCAATCATCTTTGTTAGTAAGAAACTCATGCTAAGGCACTCAACTCAGACTTTTAATTTTGCTTAACAGGATTTTAATTTGGGGCAGAAAAACGCATTTTSAGCCTTGTCAGATCTGTTTAGTCTCTGATCTGGTTCAGTGTGCATTTGCCACTTCCAGCTTTGACCTTCATGGTCAAAGCATGAGGAAGCCTCGGGTCTCAGATCTCTTTCAGTAAATTTGTCGTGTTTTTCCTCRTGGTTCCAAAGGGAGATGCCACAGCTTGATTATTTCAAAAGCATTTACAAAAGATCCTGTTTTCCTGCTGCTGTCAGAAGAGCTGCTGCTACAAAAGACAGYGGCTGTCTGGCTGTCCATCCTTCCCCAAACAGCATCCCCAGCCCCTCAGCCAGAACTCCTTTGGTTTGGCCCATGCTGGAATTGCAGTAATTGACCCAAACCAAGGCCAGCCTGGTTATTTGTGTGTTCAAAACCTGAAGCTGCAAGTTCTGTGGAACAGGAGCATTGTTTAAACTCCAGCTTAAGCTGCCAAACCAGAGTCCTGAGTGTTCAGAGACACACAGGAATTGCACACCACAGCAATAGAAGCAGTTTCCTCGGTGGTGCAATTCCTGCTTTCAGTCCCTTGGTCAGCTCCCAAAGCTGAACCAGGGGCTCTCTGAAAAGGAAAAGCTCCATTTCCCTCACCTTGGAGCAGTCAGGATATGAGAAGGCAGAAGCAAATGAAGTTAATTGTCATGAGGGAACTTCAGGCTCACTGAGGTTTGCTCAAACCCTTTGTTTCTGGGCAGAAGTGATCTCAGCACGCCCATAAAGCATCCTCGGTTCTAAAGAGCCTCCCTGTGTCCTGCTGGAGAAGCCAGAGTTACCTGGGCTTCCCTTTCCCCACCTGCAAACACCTGAAATGGGGCATTTCGGAAACTCTCTTAATTCCATTTAGTCCTTTTCCTTTCCTTTCCTTTCCTTTCCTTTCCTTTCCTTTCCTTTCCTTTCCTTTCCTTTCCTTTCCTTTCCTTTCCTTTCCTTTCCTTTCCTTTCC